CGTTCCTCCATTCCCCCATTGCCCTCCCCCATTCCCCGTTCCTCCATTCCTCGTTCCTCCATTCCCCCATTCCCCGTTCCCCCATTCCACGTTTTTCGAGAGAGAAGACGATCTTTTTGCCTGTATTCAATCTACAAACACTAAAAACAAGTTTACTACTCGTATTTTTCTCGTATTCTACTCGTATGTACTCGTATTAAACTCGTATGTACTCGTATGTACTTGTGTTTTACTCGTATGTACTCGTGTGTTACTCGTATGTACTCGTGTGTTACTCGTATGTACTCGTATGTACTTGTGTGTTACTCGTATGTTACTCGTATGTACTCATTGCAGAATGGCAATTTGACTGAATAAATCGACTATTTTTCGCAAACGAACGATTCAGATTACAAACCACGGCCGCTGGTTGTAATTTGAAGGTTAGTGAATACATTCCTGTTGGTTATGAGCTGTTAAAGAATTGCTAAATGCGACTGAAATTTAAACTGACGTACTAATACATGTTGTTTACTTACAAAGTATAAAGTACAGTATATTAACATATGATAGTTTGGTTTATTTAGTGGAAAAATTCGATGTCTTCGAAGTAATATTGTAGTAATAGGAATGAATGTTAATTCATAATCATGATATTTTAATTACATAAATAAATAACATCATTTTCTGATATTGTTTGTATTTGTAGTTCAACATGTCATACACAGACAGACAACTTCCCACACGAAATAAATTTGATTAATTGCTCGTGACTTATACTTTTTTAAATAAAATTTGATACAATCCAAAACCTGTCCTGATAAGATTTGACATAAACCTCGAAAATCGAAATAAACAACACAGTATACGCGATCGACTGTCAGCATTTCATTCAGATTCAGACTGTAGCTCACACAACAATATCAAATTTCTCCCTAAATATTCGTTTCTTTCTATGCTAGCCACAATAATAATTTAGGCTTACATTGCCTCTGCAGGCAGTTGTAGTAGTTTGATATTCCAATCCTTTGTTTCCGAAAAATAGTTGATTTTGTGATCAAAATGTACATTTCGTAATACAAATCCCTATTGCACTGACTAGCTTTACCGGCTGCGAGCTTGAGAGATCCCGTGCGTGCGCACTGAAATTAGTTACGCGTTGTACACGCGAGTTGCCCTTCTATTCATTTCTTATTCTATGCTGCGAGTGCATGCATGAGTACTTTAAGGCCTGTTTAAACGGATCCAACATTGTTGGATCAACATCATCCAACAATGTTACTATACTAGATATGACTGCTTTTCTTTCAAATCTTTTTGGTTAGATAAGCTTTACTCAAACTCTAAACCTAGTCTTGATAAAAATATTTGAAAAGGAGCCGTTTGAGCCATTATTTCAAAAATGTTGGATGATGTTGGACCAACAATGTTGGATCCGTTTAAACAGGGCTTTAATCCAATCACAATGCTGAACTGTTAATTTTAATTAGATGTAAGCATTCGCAGCGAGCTGCGAGGGGCTTCATGCGAGGACTGGAAATCCGCCTTTAGCCTGGAATAAATTTTGCAACATGTACTCGAAGCGTAGCCGTTTACACATATTCTCTTATCCGCCCAACAGGATGAAAGGCAGCGGGACATTCATGTGTGAAGATAAACCCAGGAAACTCGTTTAGGACAGTATATATTCGACATCAAACTGCCATTCAGCCTGGTCATTAGTGCATGGTTTCAAAATTTGAAAAAAATTTCACGTATTGCCATGTATTTTGTGCGTCGCTCCGAATTTCTTTTTTGCACTGAATTGATTTTTGGGACGTACCCTATTTCCATAAAATTTCACTGCTTTCAGCCAATCTGAAGTAATTTGTTTTTATTCATGGATATAACTAGAGGAGAAACACTGTTTTATAATATACAGGGTGTCTCAAAAAACACGCTACGGAAATCCAACAGATTGTCGTGCATCATAAACGTGGCCAAACAATTCAATGTTTAGAGAGCACGAAAGAGCAGGTATTTAGCTTTTCAATGATACTCTATATAAATCGTAACGATGAGAAATGGCCACATACTCGTCAAATAAAATTGCCAGTCGAAATCACATTCTTCCACCGTTGGGAATTGCATGGAAAACCAAGCATAAACAATTCCCAAGAGGGAATTAAAATTTAATGTTAAATTATCTAAAACAAGCTCAACTCGTCAATTTTCGTCTTAGTGAGACCATAAGAACGTCCATTATTGCATTAAACATGGTTCAATTAACCACTGAACAGAGAACATTCGTAATCAAAATTAAAAATGTTTTACGAAACAAATAGCTTGCAGCAGGCTCGCGTTGGTTTTGGATTGACTAACTTTGCATAATTAATGCATTTTCAATTCCCAACGGTGGAAGAATGTGATTTCGACCGACAATTTTATTTGACGAGTATGTGGCCATTTCGCATCGTTACGGTGTAAGAATAGAACCATAGAAAAGCTAAATAACTGTTCTTTCATCTTATGTAAAAATTGAATTGTTTAGTTAAGTTGGTGATGCACAACAGCCTGTTGAATTTCCATAGCGTTTTTTTTTAGACACTATAGATGTTATGTGCTGACGTACCGTACTGTTACCGTACCATATGTTAACACATAGCCATTCAGCGACGAGCTTATATAATTTAAGCCAATCAGCGATTCGTTTACATCAATTGTTTACATCGTGCCCGCATCTAACCTGCGAACGGGTATACTAAAGCCTCGTCAGGCCTCGTGTATAAATCGTGTTATTCTTTCAAAAATATCTTGATATTTTTATCAATTTATGTTGAATTGGCTGTCTTGTTTTCTCGCCATTCTACTTGCGATATTATTCCGACGTTATTTATCAACATGGAATCTTATCCTCTTCTGGTAAGTAGTCAAATATCATACCACATATTGTATATTTAAATACCAAATTTGTGCAAATATATGTCCCACATATTTTATAATACATGAGTTCGCAGTTCGGCAAATATTTACTATACTATCTATAGTTAATACTGCCGTATCTTCGGCGTAGAGTTTACATGGAATGCACTCTGGATTTTTTTTATTAATATATTACACTGTATAAAATATTGGATATCTTCGAGGATATTTTAAGCCATTTGTCAACATAGTTCACAAAAAGGTTTATACAGTATTAAAAACAATCCTTTTGTGACTTCTGTAATATTTTAAACAGTGAAAACATAGCAGGCAATATTGCCAATTAACAATACCAAAGGAACCTATTGGACAGTTCTCAGTAGATATTGAATTAAATCCTGGTCCTGTATTTCTGTATATTGACTCGGTAACTTAACTCTGTTCAAAACAACAGTCCAACTATAAAGTTGTCATCAAATGTAGTGTTAGAGCAAAGGTTGAAGACGTTATCAGTTAAAATACTTATACATTTTGGTTTTACACATTAGAGTTAATTAAACAAAATTGTTTACAAACATTTTCAAATAAAAGAATCCTCACCCTCCCAAGCCTCATTACATTGTCATTTTGCTTTCTAACATAAATATTTTTCTTTAGAGATTAATACAAGAATGAAGAATAAGTGTACTGGATATTGGCTGGATAATTTTGTCAGAACAACCAAGTTACAAGACAATCTTACCTAAATTTATTAGTATGGAAAATATCTTAACAGCTACAACGAATAATCATATATTATATGGTGGATTTGATCAATGGCACACAATGTACAAAATTAAACTTGTGATACCTTCTACTCAAACCGATAATCTCCCACAACACAATTGTTTTTATGTGAATGTGCTGTACGTGTTAAACCGAACAGTGTGGTACATCATTAACTGTGCACAGAACTGGAATTTAATTATATACTTCACTCATGACCTTCAAAACATTCTCAATTATTCAGTGGTCTTCGACATGTTCACCAAATATTTTGTGTATGTTACTCAACAGTTAAAATTGGCAAGTGTAAACAACAAGTGACATAACTTTTGCTTCATATGATTAAAATAAAGTTTTGAAAATTTGATGAGTCTGGATTGAATTGACAGGTGACAGTTTACTAAATAGCCGGCTGTATAGACACTTTGAATATTGTTTGCATGACATTTTTATTTCCTGACTGCATAATTATCTGTTACAATCATAATCACATTATAAAGTTAGTTAAATTTTCTGGGTGCGGGGGTGGGGGGACACTTTCCCTGCCGCCCTCCCCGCTGTCTACAGCCCTGTTTTAAATCTTATCTGCCATTATACTAAGTGATGAAATATTTCAATTGTCCCATGTCATCTTCATTATTCAGTTTCTTTCAAGAAAATACAAAATGTGAATCAACATTTTTCGCAGATACATGTACGCGTCGTGTACCTATTTTTTGGTTAGCTGATGTGCCTGCTCGATTTGGACATTAGGCCGTGGGATGAGCATCCAAAAGATGCAATTCCGTTACACCCCTCGTGGAACTACGTAATTTTCACATGAATAAATAGATAAAAACTTACTTTATCAGAATCCGTTGCTCCCCAAGTGAAACAGGTGCACAATTGGGAGAAAAATCCCTCCAAAGTTTGATATTTTCGCGCTTCGAAATATTCGAACCGCCATTATTTTGGTAGCAAATACGCATGCGCAACTCAGTCAAACTCGCACTGCGCACGCGCAGACTATAAAAATAGATTCTCACTGGGGGGTTTCCCCGATTTCCTCCGCAAAAACAACAAAATAAAATCACAGAATACTGATCAAACCTTGTAAATATAAATACACCCACATTAAATATTGTTAAAAACACATTGTATATTTTGCTTGCTCATATGCTAAATCACTTCAATTCATTGGCTATTGTTTCAAAATACCATTTTAACGTTTAATTCTACTTTATATTAACATCCTAATTCAATACAAATTTGTGCGAGGTAAAAAACCCACCTGTATCAAACAGGACGGAGAATAAAAAATATATATGCATACAATTCACACGATCAAGGAACAATTAAAATGAAATATTTGTGAAACACTCTTTATCCGTTTGCCGACGCTGATAAGACAATATGACATTCCGAAAGATTGGAAAGACAAATAATATGATAACATTGTTTCCAAGTTCATCCCGGGCTTTAAGGGATATTTATATAAACTCGAAATTCATAAAAA